CCTCCGGGGCAGGCGGGGATCGAACTCATGCAGAAGTGGTTTAAGCTTCTTTGTGCTGTGCTTTAACCCGCTGCACCACCAGGGAGGGCCCTCTTTCTCATTTTTAAAGCAAAATGAAGCTCTAAGTTGCTCCTATCTACATGGTTAACTGATTCCCTGTAGACCGGTTGCCCTCTAGAGAAAGCAGGTTCCCTCACATTCCTCATAATAAGTCTAACAATGCTGTATAGAAAATTACTTACTCTTGGATGGAAAGCTATGGCAGTAACAAAATCTATATGTTGAAAACAGCAAAGGCATTCTCTTCTGGATATGTGCCACAATCTGACTGTTTTATCCATCGAAGAGGAAAGTAGAAAATAATTCTACATAGAAATCGACAATGATTATTTTATCATCATAAGGAAAAAAATCACTTATACAATAAAAGAGAGCTTTTGGTTTTGTGTACCCATTAGTTTTGCTATTATTATTGTTATATGTGGCCTCAGAAAGAGGGATTATCCAATTCACTTGGAAGATCCCATTTCTGGTCCCCCAACAGTTAAACACAATATTCCTGGAAAAAAAAAACTTTTTCACATTACCAATTCTGAAATTAGTATGAGTCTTGTGATCTATGTCAGAAGAAATCTGCCAAGCACCAACAGTTACAGCCTGCATATATAGGGAACTTGACTATGAATACAAGGCATCTATTCATTTCATTGTCACTTCAGTTATTTTCACACTGACAACACTGGTGAATTTTAACTCACATGGATTCCCTGTCACTTAAAATGCATTCAAAGAGCATACACAACAATGCAGGATGGAAATGAAAAGTTGCGTACTTGTCACACTCAAGGCAGGAATTAGAGAGTAGAAATTGCTGAATTTCTCAGAATAAATAGAATTTTCAAAGTCAGTAAAGGGTAATGTAACTGAATTAGGCATTGTGATGGGCCATCACCTAAGAACCAAACATCTATCTGTCAAAAACTTCCAGCTGGCAGGAGAGCTCTTTAATTTCTAAACATCATCTATTTAAGGGGAACACTAGAGGTATACTGAATGAGGAAATCCAAATGAGGCTAATATTCTTTTGTTATGCCTAAAGTTGCTAAACAAATCAAAGCAATGATGACATTTACTGAGTGTTCCCAATGTGCTAAGCATCGTTTCTAGTGCTATACAGCAATTCTATGAGGTAGGTACATATTATTATTTCCGTTGGCAAACGAGAACACTGAGGCACAGAGATGTTAAATGATCTGCCTGAAACTACACAGCAAATCAGGGTAATCTGGTTCCAGGTGCAGGCTCTAACTACTACACTGTTGTACAGAGTGCTAAACAGAACATGATGTGAAAAGCAATAAGCTACTTTGTTATTTGCTAAAAGTACTAAAAACCTTTGAATATAAAGAGGCTATATCAATCTCCTTGAAGTAAGCATGGCGGCCTTAGGAATCAAAGAAATCAGACCCAAATTTGAGTTCTACCCGTAACTAAGTTTTGTGATCTCTGACAGGTGAAATGTGCAGTCACCTCATATACAAAATGAAGTATCATTTACCTCACAGTGTTACCTGGCATAAAATAAATGTTCAAAAGTTAGTAAAACCTACTGTAAAGACCAACTATACTAGATACTAAAAAGAAACAATAGTAAAACTGATCTAGTCTTTACTCCTGAAGGACTTAGAATCTTATTACAAACAACACCTAGATATGTACATTGGGACAGAGTCTACATAGGATGTTGCTTGATACATGAATTGTTTTTAAAGCCAGACAGATCTCTAAATATAATTATAAAATGCACATTTTATTGTAATCTATCCTTCCTTGATTTGTTCTGCAGCCTGACTTCTAAGGATTCAATAATCTAGGGACATTCTTTAAAAAACAAACAAACAAAAAAACCATCATGTAATTGTTTCTCTACATCAATCCAAAAATACAATGCTGTTTACATTTCAAGGTGGTGTAAATTAATAAGAACATACATCTTTGTCAGTACCAAGTCATGAATCTCTATAATCTAAAGCCAAGATCAAGGCTTACATATCCAACAAAGCAGGGCACTAACCTGAGATGTCTTAGTGGAGAGGAAGATGACCCAAGAGCCCACAGACACACATGAATCCTAAAGTTTAGCAGTAATATGTTTCCCATTTAGTCCTGCTCTATGGTCTACATAAACAACAGAATTGGAGTATATGAACTTGCAGTTCTTTCCAATGCCTGTCACACAAAACACACACTAGTGTTTGGTAACCCTTATTGAGCTTAGCTGTGATATGAATTTAAAGGCATACTATATAGTTTTCACTAACAAATTCAATAAATACAGTGAAAGTTGTTCTGTTCACCAGAAAAACAAACAAAACCAATGCACTGAAGCTCTGCCTACTTTAACGTGAAGTTTATATAGAATGTATATATTCTCTTTCTTCTATAAACTGATCACTTGTTTTCTTCAATCAGATCATGGTCAGTTATTAAACTTTCTGGTTATTACAATCCCCCAAATGTCACTATCTTTAGTCATCCAAGGCAAAGCCTCCACATGATTAAATTACTTACTAAAGCCCTGCCAAATTCAATGCCTCTTTAGTACAAGCCAAAACCCTCATTTTTTCTTTTTGCCAATGGATTAATTTGTTCCTTAAATGCCTTTTTTTTTTTTTGCATCCGCTGTCAGATATTTGGCAAAAGGATCAAGATAATGGGTATAAGGGACACATAAATAAAATGTTTTCTATTCTGAGTCTAGAATCTATTGAGAAATATGCTTGGTACAGAAGGGTAAACTACAAAGTATCATATCAGTTTTAGTTACATAAAGTTAATTAGAGAATGTAGTTTAGTTCTGATGATGAAGGCTTAACTGAACCAAAACATACAACAATTCTGGTGAGCTAACTTTTTGGGGAAGAAAAGAGCAAGGTGCATATTTCCTTGGGACTCTACTCCAAAAACAGAAATCAGAGGGGCTGGGCATGCTCATTTCTTCCCTCCTACTTCCTACAACCATTCAGGCAGGAATTCCTTCCTTGGGGGAGGACAAACAGGGGCAAAAGAAGAAAATGGTAACAGGAGGGAATTAATGAAACTGGCCCCAATTCTCCCACCTAAGTCGTTGCTCCCTGTTATGAGCTTTGTAACAACTTTCCTCATTTAGTCTATATTTTGAGTTCATTATCAAAAATCTTTCAATAAAAAATATTTTTCAATTATTCAATATTTTTTCAATTATCTTTCTGATTTCAATATCCCTAAAGGCAGGGCTTCTGTTTGCCTCGATTGTCAATATCCTTGGCAGTTGACAAAGGACTGGCATTCAATATTTGTTGAATAACATGAATGTATGGCTGACTAGTACGGGATTCTGTATAGTTACTGGATAAACTGGGTATGACAACTGGTAATAGTGTCAACTGGTGATCCAAATAGAAGACATTCTATCTGAGGATAAAAAGGGAGAGGCATCCTTCTGCCTTCTTTCCATAGCACGGCTTTGATAGAAAGATTTTCCCCATGCCACTGTCCCCAGTGTGTTCTATTTCTGGAAGTGCAGAGATCACTATATGGCCACAGGGATCCGTTAGGTATTGTCTTTTTATCCTATGCAATGGCAGGAGGATAATATTCTAGGTATTTAATTACTAAGTAGTTCCTAAAAACATCACCTCCTCAGAGAATGACAATTTAACTGGGTATACTCAACTAGAGAATACTGTTCAGGAAAAGAAAAAGAAAGGAGTATACGTTGGTTAAGACATATGAAGACTTTAAAAATAAAAACTGAAAAAGTAAGGATACTGGCAAATCAAATCAAACCAAACCCTTGAACTCTCACAGCAGAACTGAGGCTACCAGAGGAGAGTGGGGGCTTGGAAGCACAAGGTGGAGGGGCCCAATGGCCATGGTGGAGGATTACTGCTGCTTTGGTGGTGGGTATAACATGGTGCATGAAATGGTATAACATACATTTGCAGAGGTATACCTATACCCCTAAAACACATACAGAGTTGTAAAGTAACATTACCTCAATAAGCATAATTTAAAAAGAAAAAGAATAAAAACTGAGGTTTCCTAGACAAGAATTCTGCCTTAAGACTCCAATGGGACTCTTCTGAGCTTCCAGCCTGCCAAGCTATTATTCTACAGATTTCAAACATGTCTGCCCCCACATTATACCAGCCAGTTCTTTAAAATAATCCTCTTTATGTATAAATATTCTCTTCATTCTATGACTCTGGTGAACCACAGTGGTCACAGGAAATCTAAGTTCTTCCTCTGCTTGCTACATGTCATAAAATACTGGTTTACTTTAATAAAGTAAAATGAGTGAAAAGTTCCTACTCATCAGATTAAGGACACTAGTTTTTGATGTTCTGATAACTCAGATTTTGAACAGTGTGGGTGTGGGAGAAGTACAAAGATACAATTAGGGCCCTGATTAAAACCAGACTGCCAGGTAAGCCCTAAGCAGCTTGTTGAAGGAAGTTAAACAATGGCATTCTAACAGATGGGTTATGAGGAGCACTTAGAACATCTAAACAAGCATGGTAGCAGTAGCAATTCATAATTCGTAAGTGTAGTGATTCAAAGCTGGAGCTCAGAGAAAGCTGACTTAATAATGTATACAAGTGGTATCTTTGTGGTAAGGTTCTCCTAGCATTGTCAAAACATGGCAGCCCTGGTTTTTCTGATTATAACTTAATTGAATTTTATCAATGTAAGATTTTTAAATACTACTCTCCTCATGAATTTTTAATATATTTTAGATTCTGATTACCAGCAAATTTTACTACAAAAGGAAGTGTAAGTCATTGTGCAAAAATTCTCAAAATTGTTTTCATAAAACTGCTAGGATATGTGAGCAGAGGCAAAACAGCCTCTGTACTTCTGAAAACAATATTGTTCTCAGGGAAGGAAAAAAAAAATCACAAAATGTAGACATACCATTGATTCCTAGAATTGTTAAACCTTAAATCAACAATTTCATGAATATAGTAGGTTTGCCACCAAAAGCAGTCAGATTTTATCTTTGTAGTTGAAGTCATAAACCAAAGTACAAGTAAACAGACAGATCCAGATAGAAGCTATTAATTAATACAAATATTTCCTTATTGGCATAACCTGACATTTTCCTAACTTGATTAATTTGTAGATAACACCCATAAGTGTATGTGAATATTCAAACACTTGACAGTGTGACATCATATAATTAAAACAATTATTTTTATCCTAAAGTCCTAGTTACATAGAGTGAATGCACAATCCAAATAATATTTTCTTACCTTAGACCATGAAAGGTCAAGGAGATCAGCAGTATGTCCTTTATATTTGCAAAATGGCCGTTGTCGAAATGGTGCATTTTTGTCATCAGGGTCTTCGTCAGCTCCACTGCATACCTAGTTAGATATAAAGATAAATGTTAAAACTAGCAAAACAAAAGCTTCATCCTTTCCCTACCCCATCTGCTCTCTCATCATTATGTATGATGCCTGATTGAAATTTTGATCCACTAAAAGCAAGCTCCTCTCTTGACTGAATCTATTACAAGTCAGCTCTTTAACTCCTTGCCCTAACAAACCAGGATCACCCATAAATACATTGCTTGATCACAATCTTTTCCTTCTCCAGCTGAGAGCACACTGAACTTTCTGAGTATCTATTCCTTCTGGAGAGATGGAAGCAAGCATTAGAGGGTGATCATGACTGGGCTAAGCTAGTGACAATGAGGTTATTTCCTCTTCCAGTCCTGACTGGTTTAGGCATGGACATTTGCCATGATTTCATCAATTAGACACCAGGGAATGTTTATTCTGGTGTGGGGAAGGAATCAGGGAGACTTTTATAAAGATTTCCTCATTTTTAAGAAGTGGCATATTAAAACACATCTTTCCTGGATATGAACACTGTTTTCTGCATGTTGATACCTAAGACTAGATACCTAAGACTACAGCAATATCTTAGAACCTTGAGGGGAACAAGCCCAAGAGACCAAGGAGATAAAGAATAGCAAAGTAGGAGGGTGGTAGGGCCAATCCTATGCCCTTGATATTACTGAGCTGCTAAATTAACCAATCCTGGAACTGCTTTACCGTCAGACTTGCTTCCTCAATATTTAAGCCATTTTCAGTTGGACTGCTGTTATTTGAAGTAAAAATCATCCTGACAGAGGTAGATAGAAAATAATCTATATGTGTGTGTCATGTATTTAGTTTACAAAATGTTTTTGTGCTCATTATCCTGAATGAATCCTAACAACTCTCCATGGTAGGTATTAACATTATGAAGGTGAAGAAATTAAGGGAAAAAATTGGGGCTCACATTGATTAGAATATATTAAAGATCACATAGCCAAACCAAATATAAGCCATCTGTCAGTCCAGAGATTGTTCTATTATTTTAGAGGATGTAGCATGAGCAAAAGCATAAATGTTAGTCAAGCTTTGTAAATGTAGGAAGGGTAGGTTGGATGGAGAAAAAGTACATGGAGATATATAGTAAAGGGTTAGGGGGCAAAGGTACTCTGAGACCAGATAATAAAGAGCCTCAAATTTGACTTGAAAGCTCAGATATTCTAAGGCAATGGAGAGCCAACACAAGTTTCCAACAGGAAAAATAACACCATCTGACTGGTGTCATAGAACGAGAACATTGGGTAATAATGTAAAAGATGACTTGGAAAGAGAATAAAAGCAGGAAAGACAGTCAGAAAGTCTAAGAAAGAATCATGAGGGCTTGTACTAGGATAACTGCCATTGCACAGATTAAAAACTACCAGTATTATCTGTCTATAATGTTTAAAAAATATTTATGTCAATTGTGGAGGTAGACCAACAACATGGATGTCCTGATCTTTTGCCAAGCAATCCTTATCTAGACAACTAAAACCAATTCCCCTAAATTTGCTGCCAGCCTAGTGAAAATAGCTAGAAGATATAAACTAAAGGTTTATCCCTTTAAATAGAACTTGTTTAATAATTGCTTAGTGTATTCCCTCTGACAGTGATTCCTGAAGTCACTTTTTAATCCTTTAACATTTATTTTTTTCTCCATGTACTTTACCTCTACCCCAAAACCTTTAAATAACATTATTAGATTATCAAGTAATATATGCTCAGGATAAATTATTCTGAAAAATAAAGAAATTTATATATATATTACATATAATAGGTTAAATTATTCAGAAAATACAGGATTTTGATCATCTTTCATTTTTAAAAAACAATTAAAAAATGTACACACGATTCAGTTTCTCTTTTTAATTATATCATGAACACTTTCTGTATTTTGTTCTTTGAAATTATTACTGGCCAAATAACATGGATGCATCATAATTTAATCATTCACATTTGCAATTTTTTTGCCAATATAACTAGAAATTCAGTGGTTATCTTAGAACATAAATCTTTGTTCTTATTTGCTTATTCTCATACAGGGGCTATAATTGGGTAAAAAAGTTTAAACCTAAGACTTTTCATACTGTCTGCTGTTGTTTGTTTTGATAAAAGTGGGTAAGTTTATTACGGATAATTTTAGAAGTACAGAAAGTATAAAGAATTAAATAAAAATAACCTAAAGTCCTACCATGTGGAGATAACAGCTATTAATAATTTAGGTCATTTCCTTTATGTCTTTTAATTATCTACCTATCTACATATACATATATGCGTATATATGTGTGTATATATATACGTATATATGTGTATATATATATTTTAGTTAAAACTGGGTGACTATTGGGAACAATTTTTCATTCTCCATTTTTTACTTTACTATACTTTTATTACAGCAACATTGGTCTACAGTACTGTATATGACCTACAGGAATAGGCTCATACCTCCTGAGAGGTACATCACCAAACCTACCATCAGAGCACCCCAAGTCTTTACACTAGAAGACAGGGCTCACTCACCATTTGTTCCTACCTCCACTTATCCTCTCCCTCTAGTAGCTTCAATACATTAAGTATTTTTGAGCATCTGAATATTTTTAATATCAGTGACTACTCTGAAAAGAATTCAAAGACTGCATAGTATTCTATATAGATTATATTATAGTTTTTTTTTT